GTGCGTGTTATACGCCGGTGCGTGTTATACGCCGATAAATACGGTAAATGCTGGTTTCCAGCAAACAATCATGAATCGTGGTCACACAACTGCAGGATGCTGCAAACTGCCATAAGTGTGGCCATTTGCTTAGTACCAAAAAATACAGTCAATGATTGTGGGGCAACACTGAAACTTTGAAACCTAGTTGTAAGTAGCTTTTGTGGAGTTTGTCAAAACTAAATTAAATTAAATTTAGTTAATTTTTTAAAAATGTATGAATTGTCAGCTCTTTATAAACATCATCATGGCGCAACTTTCATGGTCTTCTGTACACAGATATATTTATAGGTACTGGGAAGGTTTCTTTACTAGATTAAACAAAAATACTGAGGGAAAAATGTGTAAACTAAATTACATAATACAGTTGATGGGTCAATCTTTTTAATACACCATCCAATCATTTTTTGCTTTAAAAAAAAATTAACAGGGAGATGCAAGCAATTATATCAGAGGGTTTTTATCAAATGCCACTGCTATTATTCAAATAACTTGCATAAAAGCCTTTCACAATAAAGCTCTACCTTACTACCACCATCTCATAAGCAAATGTCTCGTAATTTCAACCATTCTCTTCCTCAACTAGCACAATAACATACCATATTTTTCGCTCCATAAGACACTCTAGACTATAAGATGCACATAGGTTTAGAGGAGGAAAACAAGAAAAAAAAATACGTGCCTCTGTCTCCCAGCGTCTATCTGATATTCATCTGGCTAACATCTTTGCAGCAAACAGCCTGCCTCCTCCGTGTCTGCTGCCTCCACCCGGAATGCTGGAGCCTTCGCCTCCAAGCAGCTGATGAGCAATTGGATCTGCTTCCTGGAATACTGCTGATCAGCTGTTCCAGGTGGCTGTGATCACTGCTGCCATTCGCCACTGCTGCCTGTTCACCATATTTGCTCCATAAGATGCATAGACATTTTCACAGAGTTTTGGAAGGAAAAAAATGTGTCTTATGGAGCGAAAAATACGGTATTTATGCATTGAGAAGAACCATGGATTCCCAGAGATTTGGGCATTGCTGATTTTCTGACATACCTTACACCTTTACCAAACAAACAGTAATTTGAGGACAGAGTTTGCTTTAAAAGAATGCCAAACTTGCAACATTACATGGTCTCCCAGCCACAATTGTCACCTAGTCATCCACGAGCTGCACTGGCTGCCAATTGGTCTCCGGACGCAATTAAAGGTGTTGGTTATCACCTTTAAAGCCCTACAAGACTCAGGACCAGCGTATCTGCGAGACCGCCTACTGCCTCCCAACGGCCGATAAGATCCCACAGGGTGGGCCTCCTTCGGATGCCGTCAGCTGGACAGTGTCGGCTGGCGGGCCCCCGGAGGAGAGCCTTCTCTGTGGCTGCTCCAACCCTGTGGAACCAGCTACCCCCAGGGGTCCGGACCTTATCCACTCACATGGCCTTCGGAAAAGATGTTAAAACCTGGCTGTTCCGGCAGGCCTGGGGCTGTTGACCTTATTGTAAAGGTCCAGCCCCGATTAGAAATGTATGTGTGTTGGGAATTTTTAAATTATTCTCTCTTTTTTTTTTTTTTTGCTTTTCTTTTTTTCTTT